AAAGAACATCATATTCTTTTATTTTTATGACTTTCACTTACCAGAGAAAAATGAGTGAGCAAAGATTTAACTTTGTCAATGTCAATAGCTCCTCCCCCACCCTTTTCAAATGATAGTGCTCTCTATACTTGTAAACCTTTAGTTTCACTGTTCCCCCTTTATGACAGCTTATTGTATTTAATTTCTATTACTGATTTGTAAATGTTCACTGTAGCCAAGTCTTATCTTCCCAAAGCTTTAGGAGGTCCACCCTTCCAAAATACTCCCCAGTCATGCAGTTAATAGCAATGTTTGATAATTCCTTTGTCGTTTGTCTCCACCACTGGAACATAACTTCTGTTAGGATAGAGCTGGTTCTGTCTTCTTGAATACTACAGAAGAGGTTCTAAATAAATGCTATAACAGTGAATGAATGAATGAATGATTTGGAGGCCAATGGCCTTATCATATGCTTCCTCTGCTAGCTAAGTTAAGGCAATATTTGAGAACACATCATAGTTTCTATCGAGCTTTATGAAAACTCAGACGCTCTTTTATTGCTCAATTGGAAATTTGCAAATAATAAACTTAAGAACAGACTACATTATATTTGATACACACTATTAGAGAAGGTGCTACAAGACAGTTTTTTCAAAGGCCACACAGCATTACAAAAGATTCATTAGGACGAGTTTCCTGTATTCCATTACCATCACTGTGAATGATCTCCCCAATAACCACTGCTAAATAATTTCACTGTCTGGAGATCTAGTTCTCCTCTATGTTTAGAGAACTTACAGATGAATAACTGAAATAATGAATGACTACTCTCCAGGACCTTAACAATAATCTTAAAATTTTTTTAAAAAGAGGGAGCAGGCGGCTTAAGGAAAACTCTTGAAATAAAATAACATGGAAAGCAATTTTCCTGTTATTAACAGGCTGGAAAATTTTCACTGCAATCTTCCCTCCTTTGCCGGTCTGAGTAAAAATTGGAAGTAAGGAAATATATAATAACTCCACGTCCTTTGAGTCATGAACTACGAAAGGAGAAGAGAATCACAACTGTGGGGACACACGCACTCTACACGAAAGCAGGAAGTCTGTTTCCCGAGCATGGGCCACTCATCCCTCATCCCAAACGGGAACACTGGCCCCTTTTGAAAGTCCACCCCACTCCCCCTCTAACCCTAAAGCCCAAGCCACTCTCGCGATTTTGCTAGGCTGAGGAAGAGAAGGAGCAGCAGAGGGCTCAGGACACCCTCCTGTCTCTCCTTGGCCTGCGGCGGGAGGATACTCCTCGGGTTCAAGCCAGAAGCGGAGGAGGCGGCAGACCTGGCATCAAAAGCGAAAAGCCTCGGCCGCGAAGGCAGGCGGCTCGTCCACGCGGCCAGAGAACTCAGCGAACAAAGCACCCGGCGGACAGTGCGCGGAGGCTGGGAGAGAGGGGGGAAGATTACACCGGCTCTTCACAGCTGCCTGGGGCTAGAGCAGGTGGAGGCGCGGTCCTCCTGAGAAGGAGGGTGGGTTTTCGAGGGGCTGATCTGAACTCCAGCGCCAAGGCAACCGGAACTGGGACCCGGGACCGGTCTAGGGAGAACGCCGGGAAATGAGGAAGGCGAGGCTGCCGAGAGGAAGGGGTGGTCGGGGCCACTGGCGGCCCCCGCGGGGTGCC